CATTTAGTTTATAAACAATGACATTTATAAATGTATGAATCATATGACGAAAAACTGACTTTGAAAAACAAATCTGTTCTTTTTTTCTTATAAAAGGCTAAATAAAACAAAAAAAAATGGTGGTAAGTTTTGACTGTAACTTTACAAACGGCACCCCATACAGCAGAGTGGGTTGAAAACTGGTTATTTGATGTTATTTATTGTATTTTTTTACCACCCTACAGGCTCTGATATGATAAATAAAAYTGAAACAGAATTTCTGACAAAATCCGTGAGATTGCTCTATACGTTTGTATACCTGTAAAATGAGGGAAAATCTGTGTAAATTACAATCTGTACAACTTGACATGTATGTAAACGCAGCCCTGCTTCTTTCCTACTTTTCCACAGCTTGATTTTTAAACGACTCTGAAAATATTGTATATACTCAAAATGATGATGAAACAAAGATCCCTTTTATTTTCATGTAACAATCAGTAATCATTTGTGCCAAGATTCACACAGTTACATTTGTGTATGAGTTTWAAACAAGTTGATACAAAAAAAGACTTTGTGCTAAAAGATAATTGAAATCAGTTTCCCTGCAGTGTTGTTAATTTTTGTGTTATTTTTAATCTCCAGGTGAAYTTGATGTTGAACGGGAAGCCAGTCATCTCTGCCTTTGCAGGCGACAAAGACGTAACCCGCGAAGCTGCTACTAATGGAGTTCTACTTTACCTGGAGAAAGAGGACAAAGTTTACCTAAAGCTGGAAAAAGGAAACCTAGTGGGTGGATGGCAATACTCAACGTTCTCCGGCTTCCTCRTTTTCCCCCTGTAAAAAGATTTAAAAAAAATAAAAAAAGGCAAGAACAATTGTAAGCCTAATGACTTCTTCATGATGTGTTGTCACAGTATAATCCAAACATTGCTGCTTCATCTGTTGGATTTGGCTCAGTGGGTGAAAAATGAGAGGAGGAAAAACATCACAGCATAGAGAGGAAGTCAGACTTTGGAGATGGCTCACATGTCTGGAGGTGTCCTGCTCAGATGACAGAGACTTTAAATGTTCCCCATCACCACCACTCAAACTGAGAGGTACATCCTGAACATACACATCACAGTATGATGTGTCCAAATATTCTAGATCTGTTTTAATTAATGACAACTATTGTATCCAATTACATTTTCATTCGTAGGTTATWAATTACACCGGCCTGTTGGATGAGTTAATTGTCAAATTGTCCAAAGTTTTCAACTGTTCAGACCAGGTTGATCAGAGGAAGGAATGCACCCGCTTCAGATGTTATCATCCATGAAATGAACGTTAATAGGCCGTTATCAGTCCCATAGAATGGCTTCAGATTGTCAGCTGGTTAATATGAGGCATAAAACCACTATCTGGTTAATATGAGGCATAAAACCACTATCTGGTTAATATGAGACATAAAACCACTATCTGGTTAATATGAGACATAAAACCACTATCTGGTTAAAATGAGACATAAAACCACTATCTGGTTAATATGAGACATAAAACTACTATCTGGTTAATATGAGGCATAAAACCACTATCTGGTTAAAATGAGACATAAAACTACTATCTGGTTAACATGAGACATAAAACCACTATCTGGTTAAAATGAGACATAAAACCACTATCTGGTTAATATGAGACATAAAACTACTATCTGGTTAATATGAGGCATAAAACCACTATCTGGTTAAAATGAGACATAAAACCACTATCTGGTTAAAATGAGGCATAAAAAACAGGTTAACATGAGGCAAAAAGCCACTAAGGTTAACCTTAGAGAAAATGACATGGTTAGCGCCAAAGACACCGGCCTCCGACGGATGTATATTGTGGCCTAATGGGTAAAGCGTCGGACCACAGAGCGGGAGACCAGGTTTCGAGTCTGACGTGGATAGCAAGATCAAGGATCACCACGAGGCAAGAACAAAAAAATTATTAAAATATGTTTTGCTTAAATGGTTATTTACACATTCATTGTTATTGACAGATTAACCCACTAGGGGGCACTGTCGGGACAGTCTGAAGGCTAGAAGGCACAGTAGGGACATTCTTAAGCCATTGTATGGGACTGATAACGCCTAATAATGTCCATTTCATGGACTGATAACATCAGAATCCCCTGGGTTTTATAAGAATTTATTCAGTGAATCCCTTTACTGCAGGGTGTTTAAAGGGGAGGGGGTTATTATRTAAAGTTGGCTTGTTTGAATGTTCTAACATCATTCCCTCATCAAAAACATACCCAGAATGTTGCTTTGTCTCATTCATGCATGTTTGAGAAATCATTCAATCTCCTGTGGTAGTCATGTGGAGCTGCCTAAATCTTTACTGGTACAAAGCTCCGCCTATTTACACAAAGCTCCTCCCTGGAGCTCAGTCTGCAGCTAAGCTCCCGCCCCACAGTGCACCCCACCCCTGAGCCTCCTCCACAGAGCTCCACAAGACTAGCAAAATGTATCTTACAGATGGTGGATGTTCATGATTTCATTGCAAACATATCTTCATAATGATCCATATTTATATGTTCTTCACAAAAATTAGCTAAACATGGACGTATATGTCACCCGCTTCGGATGTTATCATCCATGAAATAGACGTTATTAGGCATTATCAGTCCCCTAGAATGGCTTCAGAATGTCCCGCCTGTGCCGGTTTGCAGGTTCCCCGTCCCATAGAATGGCTTCTGATTGTCAGCTGGTTAATATGAGGCATTAAATCACTATCTGGTTAATATGAGGCTTAAAGGCACTAAGGTTAACTTTAGAGCAAATGATATGGTTAGAGCTACAGACACCGCCCTCCAACGGATGTATATTGTGGCCTTCCAATAGGGCAATGGGTAGGGTGACGGACCAGAAAGCAGGAGACCAGGGTTGGAGACCAACACGGACACAAAATATTTAGTACAATATCTTTTGGTTATTGACACATTCATTGTCATTGATATATTAACCCACTAGGGGGCACTGTCGGGACAGTCTGAAGCCTAGAAGGCACAGTARGGACCCCCTGAAGCCATTGTATGGGACTGATAATGYCTAATAACGTCCATTTCATGGACTGAGAACATCAGAATCCCCTGTCCATGTTTGAAGGATGACTGGGAGATATGTCATCAAGCTGAAACATCTCGTAAAACCCTCTGGACTCGCTCCAGTTCTTYAGAGAACACACTTTCTGGGATTATTCCTGGAAGTTTCAGCTGAATCCTGAGTTTCCATTCTCCAAAATCATTATTATTATTATATTTCAATATTGCTTGTTTTTTTACAACAAAATACCACACTCCTATGAAAGGTTGTATATGGCACAAAGCATTGTTGTGAAAATGTGCTTAAGTGGGAGTGTCAGAAACGGTAGAAGGTTCTTAAAGAGACAGAGGCCAATTTCAAGGTGTTTAGATAGATTATGATACAAAGTAAGATTTATTTTTTTATATATATACAACATTTATATAACAAATGAAGGTAACAAATTCACTTGATTGTGGTGTAGAACAGACCTATGGGCCTGTCAAA